TCATATGTTTTTCCTTTGCAAAGTGCTGTCTTCTCTTTCTTCTCATTCTTCATGTAATTAACTACTGAAACCATCTGAATTACACAATGAATTAATTTGTATATATATATATATAATAATCCTAGTTAATTGGTCCTCTAATTAAAATGTATATTCTCTATCAAATGGCTGTGTTTCTGTCATCTTCATCAGTTATCTCTTGACCTTTCTTAAAAACTGATAAAAAATATAAGACCATAGTACATTCTTAAAATAATATCAGTAAGTCAAGCCAAGAGTATTTTGGTAGCATACTATGCAGCTGTTCTGCTCCAAGGAGTATGAAAATGTCCCTACCTGCATTACTGAAATAGTCACACAGTTCTGATGGGTTGTCATCTGATTATTATGAAATCCATATGTATACTTAGGATTGCAAAAAACCACTCCCACTTCATCAGCTAGAAGTAATACCTTATTTTTCATTTAGAAAAATCAAAAAAAACCTGGGTCAGATCTTCCTCTGGCAGTACATTTTAGGCCAAGCATTTATTTGTGTTTGATTCAACAAATAAAATCAAACTCTAATAAAAAAGAATGTTATCTTTTTAACGATGAACTTGAAGGAAATACAAGGAACTGACAGAACCCTATTCTCTGCAATATAGTCATTTTAATGAAAGCTAGGAATGCAGAATTTTATAATGTGTGTATATTTTAAACGTGTCAAATTGATGAACTTTAAAATGGAACAAAAAATTTTGGAGCATCTCCCAACATGTTGCGGAATTTGCTGACAAGACAGTTTGTATTTGAGTGTTATTCCTATTGGAAGATACAGCACCGAGCATATTTGTCAGCTCTTAACAAAATTATTGAAGTACTAGGAATTTGCATAGAAATAACACAAGTTTTTAAAAGGAAAACAAAGAAAAAATATAGGCAAGCACAAAACATCTGTCATATAAATGTTTGTATTCATACAAAAAATCCTTCCTTGAAAACAAACATTGCATAAAAATTTGGCAACATAGCTTATAAGATTATTATAGCTAGGTTGTAAAAACTGAAATATCTGCACATCAGTGTTTATATGACTTTTCAAGGAAATCTTCATGACAGTGTCATAAAGCTTAACCAAAATCACATTATCTGAAGAAAAAAAAAATCACTTATTTGCAGTTACCAGATGTAAAAAATAATTTGATACACAATATATATTGCATTACAAATTCCAGTGTATGGTGTTGTAGTTGTAAGGTTGTACTGTGAGCAGTGGGCCTAATGTAATAACAGTTTATTCCCTGCAAACCTGATTAGTTTTCCTTTATGTCACACAGTAGTCCAAGACCCCCAGCCCTTTTCAGAGCTGCAAAAGCATATAGTTCCTCGTGTCCCCTGTTTCCCATCACTACTATATCCTATGTTTATTTCCACATACAAAATGCCATAGATGCCAGCTAGCCATATGAGCAGGCTGTTTGTGCTGACAGTCAGACCTTCCCATCAGTAGGAGCATTAATTAACATTAATTTGTCATTACATTTTTTTTATTCTGCACTCTACCAAGTTTTCAAACATTCAGGGTCTTACTATTTTTGAGATGTCTATCAAATGTAGTTGAAAGTGGTCTACAGGCTCAAAAGTTATTAGTTTGAGAAGGGACTATTAAACGTCACAACCAGAAACTGGGTTAGGAGTGTTAAGTAATAAAGTTAATGTGATTGATTTTACAAGTATCACATCTTTTTAAAGTTCAAAGTTGTCATAACTTTACCAACAAAATGATGCACTGAAAAGGTGTGATGAAGCTCACAAAATTATTATAAAATATATATTTTTTTTAATGACACGTTACTCCAGGCACAGTCTACTCACAAACCATGTATACAGTGTGATTTTTTTGCTAGCATCAACAAGACTGAATACATGCTGTACTGTTTTGGCTACAATATCAAATGTGAATTCTTGATTCAGGTTCTAAGTTGTCAGCATGCTGCATTAATAAAGTTACAATATATTCTCTGTATATTAGTTCAAGAATAGCCCCATATTCAGAATGGAGAATATTTGCAAATAAACCTTCTCATAAGACGAGGTTTTCTTTTTAATGATAGTTCAGTGTCTACTTAAAAATGCAGAGGTATACAATTATTATGTCAAGAATATATACTTTGGTGTAACTATGTACCATTAAGCATGAGGGCATTTTCTGTAGACCTGAGAGGCTCAGTTAGTCAGCTCCTCCACAGATGAGTCTGGCCTATACTGTGGTCCAGCCTCAGAAGACTTGACCCTTATGCACAGTGCCCATCTTATCTAGGGCAGCCAGTGAGTGAAGCAGAAATGAGCTAAAATGTAGACTTCAAATGGCTTCTTAGCTGTGTGGAAGCAGTCTCCAAGCACATCATATGGGAATAAAATGGCAGTGTGGCAATTACTGACAAATACTTTCTCTTTGCTTTTGCATTTTTCATGGGAGGAGGTCTGAACAGCCCTTTGTCTTACCTTATTTGCTGCTGCCACTGGTGTTTCTTCTGAGTCTTAATAGATATGAAAAAGCAGAATTTACTGAGCTTGGTTCAGTAATACTCTTTTGACCAGCACAGAATATGAATGCTTCATCATGCTGCACAGTTTTATACAAACTGTACTGTATGTAAGAAATATCTAGAATTTTCACCAAATTGCTGTAAGATTTGGTAGTCTTTGGTATTCTTTTCATTCTGTTACTTCTTTATATTCTGTATATAATTTCTCTCTCTCTTTTTTTTTTCTTACTATATATACAAATAAAAGTTGTTGGTGAACAATCAAACACTTTAGAAGAACTTTCGCCTTTTCAGTAAATGAACAACACTGACATAAGCAAGACTGAGTTCTGTGAAAACCCATATTTTGAGGTAGAGATTTGCTTACTTTTTTTTTTTCCAAGTGGGTTATTTTACAGTGGCTTAATATTATTGCTGAAATATGCATATATAATATATATTTTTTAATTCTCTGATACTGCCATAGAGTACTATGATTTCTGGAATAATTCCCTTAAAAAAAATGATATTCCATTAGGAGTTAATAAGGAGAAAAAGAAGAAAGAATAAGATAGCTCCCACTGGCCATGCTTCTTTTGATACATCCCAGCTCCTAGAACAGGCGTAATACATGTATATGTTTTTGTAATGTCTACAGTATATGTTTTGGTAAAATAATTTTGTCCAGCTCTCCCTCATGACCGCAAAAAATATGCACATAGCTCTTATGCCAAAACTGCCACCATGAAATGATACACTGTCCCACTCCTGACACCTCCATGTTGCAGGTGACAGGAATAAGAACTGAACTGTGGTTTGGAAAGGGGCAAAAATATTATTGCTTCTACAGATATGCTGATGCCCTCTTAGAAGTTTTCTGGAAAAGTTGTATTGAAATCTGAGACTACTTTGCTGTTTTCTCACTTGCAGTATCATCTGCCAACTGCAGATTTCATCTTTCAGACATGTTTCATGTGAGATGGTTATTGGCCTCCAGAAAGGCATCTAGTGTCGCTTTCAGTGAAGGACTTGCTGTGAATCTCTCTTGCTGCTTTATCATAAACAGCATCTTAAACATAAGTAATCTCATTAACACTCGGAGTCCTCTGAAGATAGGACAGCCCTGATAAGGGTTAATCAGAGAGCTTTCATATTCAGTGTGTGGATACTCATTTGGGTCATTTGAGTTAGTAACTCATAAAGAGCAAGGAGACAGTGGGCTCCCGAGTCTAAAAGAGCTGCTGCTCTCCCAGCACTCTGCCTCCTGTAGAGCCTGTGCAAGCTGACTCGACTTGGTTGCAGGAGCAGCTTAGTCTTGCTAGAGAGAATGATCCGTCTTTTATAATCCCATGGAAACAAAATCTCTCAAATTAGGATGAACATGAAGAATGCAGGAAACATAAATACATAACCAATTTGAGAAATCCAGCAGCTATATATAGTTCCTTTCATAGAGAAGGCATTTGCTACTTTCTTTACTCTGTGCATTTCCCTTGTGACAAACTGAGGTGAAGCTATCACTCATGCCTAGTGGTGGAGAATAGCCTGCTGTTAGCAGCGGAGATTGCACTGCTGATAGCATTTTTGGTTGTAATAGTTCAAACAGTGCATAACAAAGATAAAGGACCCACCATTACCGTCATCTTAGTAAAGGTACTTGTTAAAATAAGAGGGAAGAATGTATTTTGTATAGTATTGGTAATATCTTGTAATAAAGGTAAGAGTTATAAGAGTTTAGGGCTAGGTCTCAGATTAATTTATATGAGGAATGATACATTCTATGATTCACATTAAAATTAGTTTTTCCATGCATTTCATTTTTGTTCTTGGAAAAGCAGGTGATGTGTCTGAAATATGATATTAAAGTGTGCCTTCTAAAGAGAAAGTCCCAAGTTACAAAGGATATATGGTCACAAAACATTTTTAGCTTTTTGTCATTGTTCAGAAGAAATAGGTGCACCATAATAAGCTGAGGATTGATTCAAATTGATCCAAAGATTAGAAAACCATCATACTTTGTAGATAGACATAATTTATTGTAACAATTCTTCACCTGGGAAGTACATACTCCCTGTTAGGGTGTGGTATATACACATGGAAAGGGGAAGAAGGTTGCTCCTGAAGGCAGCAGAGAAGATGTAACTGGGACAGACTGGCTGGGACAGAGATGACGGCAGGGGAAGAAACATGCTGAGACGGTTTCAGTGGAGTGGAAAAGGAATGGGGGGAGGGGAGATAGAGCAACAGAAAAATCAGTGTCTGCTCAGTCCAGTGGCTGCCACTGCAGTGCTGACATCTCCAGCAGCTCAACTGGACGTGGATTGGGACCAAATGTCTCTGGTTTCATTTTCAGAACTGGTTTGCAAAGGTTAGGAGCTGAAGGTCTTAGCTATTCAGCTGTAGACTCTGTGAACAATCATTTTTGGTACACTGCCTCTCTTGGTTTTGGAGGCTTGTAAATACATAACATTTGCATTTATTTTTTGAAAGGTTTTCTGAAGTACAAGCAAGAATTTCCCTAGCCCTTTATTTGTGAAGCAGAGGGATGCCTGAGGCAAAGGATGTGGAGAAGGGGAAAAAAAGAACGGCAAAAAAACTTGCGGGTGATAGGCTGCTGCCATAGTAGGTCTATGTAAAGAGATAAATGCAAATTAAAAAGTTTGTCAACAGTTGTTTGCCTGTAGGACTTCACAGAGCACAGAGGTTTTTAAAGTCTTAGCATTGTGCTGGATGAACCTCCACAGATCTAAAAAGGATTTGAATTGTCTGTTTTAAAAATCTTAAGATGGGCGTACTTTAATTTAAAACACAAATCTATTAATATTGGCCATGTTTTATACTCCACTCTCATTAACAGAAGACTATAGGTGCTTTTTCAGCCCGGTATTTATCCTTCAGTGTTTGATTTATTCGTACAAATGCACATTGAGTAAAATGATTCAACTGAAGCAAAAATCTGACAGTTGCATATTAGGCAAGACTTTCATTTTTCTGAATGAACTAAAATGGAGGATACTTATCACACCTTTCTGCAAGCACACTTTGAATATATTTGCAAAATAATTGCATTTTATGCCAATAGTTAACAACCTTTGGAATAAATATAAGTTCTTGGCAGATTTTTATTATTTTTATTTTTGTATTCAAAAAACATTTTCTAAGTTAAAAAATTACCAAACAACTAGTGTGCACCTAAGTAAACTGGGGTTTAATATGGGACATCAACAGCGATGGCTTCAGAACCTTCTGCATGTCATTGCTCATAACTGTATATTTTCCCCCAGCTTTACTACATCATTCCTTGCTTGAATTTCTACTGTGCAGTTTGTATGATGGAAATAAGAAATTTTGAAAAATGTCAAGGGAGGTGATGCTGTAGTCTAAGTTGTTTATCTTGGAGTCTTCCTGAAGACTCCATTGAATTACTGTCTGATAGAGGGAAATTCTTGTTCTAGGTTCTGAGCTAATGGATTACTTGAACTATTCAGCATCATATTTTCGGCTTCTTCCTTTTAATTTTCTGTGCTAACACAGTAATGACACTCATTGGTTTCATGTTAAATGAGAGAACGAAGAAATGTACTGTTTTATTTTTTTATTTACATATTTACATGTATTATACCAAATGAAGGGAAAAAAAAAAAAAAAAAGAAGCTGTTTTCATCTTCATAGTGTGAAAAATGTTGGGGGATTTTTTTATCACTGCAGATGTTAACAGATTTATGCCATGTAAATTGGGTATGCTAATGATGTTCCAAAATGTTCTAATCAGTGTTTATTCTGTCATATTTTATTTATATTTGTTTTTCAAAATGTATGTGCATGTGATACAGGAAACTTGAAAATTATAATAAAGAAACCAGATTGAAATATAGGTTTCAAGTTAACTACAGAGATACGTGTTTTAATTAAAATAATTAGTAAATACGCATTATGAATACTCAGAGGAGTCCTTCTAATTTGTTTAGCAAAGTAACGTTTTAAAATATTTCTTCTATAATTACATCAGAAGTCCTTTTAAGCATAAACTGGACAGTGTGATGATGATCTGGAAAAGAAAGTCTTGGTATGCTTTAAAAATATCTAGGAATTAATATTTCTAATTTTATATTTAAGCTTCTAAGCTGAGCTCTTGGAAATTTTTTCCCAATATGTTTCAGGTTGAGAACATAAAGCTGTATAGATGTATTATAAAGAATATGGATGATAACCACTAGGTTGCTGTCTAAAAGTTTAACACTGTTTTCCATTACTTTCCAGACCGTGGCTGACCATAAAAAGTTTTCCAGGTTTTCTGGAGAGTTAGCTGATATTTACGTTAGGCAAAAATAAATTGTAGAGAAGCTTAGGCAGAAAATAGACATGATTTTTCCCTGAATACACACTTCTCCATGTATCATTATCAGTGCACACACAGTGATATTTAATGTAACAACACAGGGAAATTTGAGATCAAACTGAGAAACGATAGAGAGTATAAGTGGGTGCAGATCTACATAGAGCTGGATATAAGATGATATAAAAATGCTGACTTGATGTAAGGTATCTAGGTATTACATTAGGCATAATTTAATTTAGACTGCTGTTAATGTACTTGTAGTTATTCCTAGAAAGATAAAGAATTCAGTCTATCTTGAGTATTACTGCGCAGCCATACCTTTGAATCTCTTCCATAGCCCTTTTATTGCAGTAAGCCCAAGTGACACAGCTTTCACATAGTGAACTTGCTTGTAAGTCATTTATGTCACCCTGAAAGCAGTTTTTGAAAAAAAAAAATCACTAAAGACTGCAGATTCGTGTATGTAGCTTTCATAAGGAAGTATAGGGTATATTTTTGGTGACATTTGAAAGCCCAAAAGGCAGAATGTCTTGCTTTTTATTTAATAGGCTACACTTCACAGAATAGCTTGAATTGTATTCTGCTTTGTGTGAAAAAGAAATATTTTCAGTTTGCTTCCTCGGATTTTTTTTTTTTTTTGGTGGTGGTGGTGGTTTTTTTTTGTTTGTTTGTTTTTGTTTTGCCTTTTTTTGTGTGATCTGTATCAACTGCTTGTTTTAATTAATCTCTTAAAGATTGTCTGCATAGCTGTCACCAATATAATCTTTTTCATTTAATGTGCAAATTAATTAATTAACTGAATGATAATGTACTGGACTTGTTCAGGTCACTGAGTGATAACAAGATTTATGGTGCAGACCCTAGAGATGTATTTTGTAGAGTCTGCATGTTAAGTTGTGATTCCACTGAAAACGATGGAAGACTTTCTGTTCACCTCAATAAATTCACCTCAGTTTGAGGAGCTTTACGATCTAGATGCTGTTGTCTGGCATTTGTATCTGTGATGCAACTGAAGATATGATATTAATACGAAAAGTGATTTTGTACGTCTAATGTCATAATTAGAGACATCTGTGTTAGCTTATGTTTTTGGCTCATTCCATTATCTGTGTGGGATGACTCACGTTAAAGATGTGTATCCTTTGCATACATAGTGTCATAGGATCACAGAATCATGGGCTGGTTTGGGTTGTAAGGGGCCTTAGAGATCACTTAGTTCTAATACCCCTGCCATGACCCGGGACACCTTCCACCACACCAAGTTGCCCAAAGCCCCATCCAGCCTGGCCTTGAACACTACCAGGGATGGGACATCCACAGCTTCTCTGGGTGACTTGCTTCCATGCCTCATCACCCGTCACCACCCACATCTCTCAGAAAAAAAAAAAAAGAAAAAACAACTTCTGACTTTTAGTCAAATGAGGCACTATTGCAGCTGAACACAGGGGATATATGTATATATCAACAGGTATTTTAGAAGCACAACTAATCAGGAGATGGAATTGCTGAAACCTGAAGGTGCTTCCAGAGAACTGAGTAAAGCAGGAACTGACACTACTGAACAAGCTATAGGCTGTCCAGGGAAGTGGTTGTGTCACCATCCCTGGAGTTAAAAGACGTTTAGATTTAGAGTTCAGTGATATGGTTTGGTGGAGGACTTGTTAGTGTTAGGTCAGAGGTTGGACTCAGTGATCTTGGAGGTCTCTTCCAACCTAGATGATTCTGTGGTTCTGTGAAAAGTCCAAATATATGCTAAAAAAAAAAAATCTTTTTTTTTTTTCTTCTGTAAGTTTGATGGAAAAGTTTTAGCCATGTTTGGATTTCTCAGGCTAGCGCTGCAGGCACTTGATCAGCAGATAACCTGTACAGATGGTGACTTTGATGACATTTCAACAGTAATATTTGTGCAAGGATGTACTGTTCTGGAACAATTTCTCAAGTGAATGAGAAACAAACAATTTTCTCTGAAGATCAGGCCATTTGTTTCTACAGTTTTGTTTCAAGCAGAAGTATTTTTGCAAACAACTAATAAAGAATACCATATTACTTCGAATTTTGTCTGCTCTCATTTTTCATTTTTTTGGCAGTCTGGACTTCTTTATTTTCATCAGAAGACATTATTGGACTTTTTAAATTGATGATTTCCATTATAATCACACACACACACACACACACACACACAGATTTTCGTAACACTAGTGCAGGGTAAATGCAAATATATACCTCTAATAAGGCTCTTCAGTTATGTTTGTTTATTTGTTTTCTACTAATTTGTTTTCTACTAAACAGATTCCCATCCTGTATTATTTACTATTATTTACTATATTTAATATTGTTATTTATCATGTTATTTGCTATTATTTACTTGAGTATTATTTACTATACCACTACTCCATCATTGTCTATACATTGTCATTGTATAACAGGAAATTGAAAGACACACTCCATATTGTGGGGAAGTGGTTTAAAGAACATTTGACAGAGAACATGAAAATCTTAGAAGGTTCCTGTTATAAGACGTATATGATCTCAGTGTTTTCCCTAGTATTCAAGACAATTTGCATTATCTCATCACCTTCTAAGGTGTATTTGAGATCTTGATTCCCCAAGAAAGAATAACAATGTCTAGAGATTTAACTCAGGTTTCTAGGCTTTGTAAATACAGCTCAATTTTACTCACCTTGACATTTAACTCTATGAACAAACCCAAGTCAATAAAAGCCTTGAGTTTTGGTAGGACCTATATTTATGTGCAATTCTTTGATTAGTCTTCTGCTTGGTAATAAAAGTGTATCAACATCAGGACTTCATTAGGAGTGCTGTTGTATAACTAACAAAAATATCTCTGTCCAACCGAGTTAAAAGTTAGAAAATATGAGTACATAGAGTGAACATAATGCTTTGTTAGACAATAAAATTAAGACTATGCTTAAGTCATATAGGAAGAGGACTCTAAGAAAAAAGCCGTTTTGTTTTTCTGCAATCATTGATAACTATACTTCCTAGCAAATTGACAAATTATTTAATCATGGTTTACCAAGTTCCAATTCACTTGCTTTCATTTCCAATTGCCAGTAGTCTCTTGTACATACATAGAATGTTTTACTCTTGGTCAGCTCACTCCTCCACTGCAAACAGAAATCAAATAAGCAGCTGAAGTCTTCAAAGTGTAAATTACAGTCTTGTACCTGACAGCAAAAACTTGAGTGTTTGAACTTGGCAAATCTAAATTTGAACACCTGAAAACTTATTTTCCTTGTAATGTGATTGAATTTCTACAGCAATGATGAACAGAATTCATTTTCTAATAAACTTTGGATACTATTTTACCTTTCTTTCCATATATCTGACTGGATTTTCACGGTCATTTCACTTTTTTGAACTTGACTAAAGTATCACAATTGCAGAGACGTTGTAAGTGTTTAGAGCATAGTGTTTTCTTACTGAAGGACACAGTTTGGGGAATTGATCATTTTTCTTCTCTTCCCCCTTGTGGTTCAGCTTTTGGCAGGTCAGCTTGCTGCATACAGAGACTGATTGATCTCTCACCGTGTGGAAGTGGCAGGTGCTTGTTAGGCCCCCAGTGGGACTTGCTTCAGTTTGCAGTGATTTCTCGTTCTTCTCACAGTATTGTTAATAGGCTCTATCTTTTGGTCCCTCAATCTTTAACCTGCAAACAAAATTGAATCTCTTTAATACAGCCAGCATTCCATGCTTTAATTAGGGTGTTTTAGTGCACAATCACAGACACACAGAGTTTAAAAGTAACTGAGTGCTAGCCAAAGGATTTTGTTCAGGTTATCTGTGGTCCAAATCCTAATATATTTAAGCAAAAATAAAGCCTGAATAGACTTTATTCAACTAAATACATACATATATATATATATGTATTTCATATATATATGTATATATATGAATATATATACATATATACATGAAATACATATATATATATTATACGTATATATATATGTATATATATATATATTTCAACTAAATATATATATGCTTCTTGGATGACAACTCAAAATATTGCTTTCTCAAAGGATGACGTTAAAATGGGTGCTGATTTTTAGAGCTGTGAACTCATGAAAACGATTTCTTGACAAAAAGGGATGACTTCATTTAAGAAGTTTTGTAAAAAATGCTTAAATCACAGATCCATTCACAAAATAGCGGTTTATAACGCTTATCTTTATTTGTATCAGAAGCACTAGTTATCATGTGTCTGTAGGTTATTAGTTTGAAAAACACTGTGTTATTAAAATATGTACTAAAAAGTAGATTTTAGGAAAACCTACAATGTTTATTTTAAGCCATCAAAGGGTAAGAATCCAAAATAACACTATACATTTTTTTCTATTTTTTTCTATTTTTTTATTTTTTAATATTACGTCTCTTTAGAATCCAGATGTCTTTCAAGTATGCACAACTTACAAACTATGTTTAAATATGTATGCATGTTTATCAGCATTTTGATTGAATCAGGAATTGCTTTGCATTCACAGAGAAAATGTAAGTACTATGAAATAAAAGTTAGTGTATAATGTATCATTCTTTGTTATCTTCTGGTTTAACAGTAGGCCATGTAGAAATAAAGTTGAGGCTTTCTATTTAAACTATATTAAAAATCTTATGTCTTCTACATATTAGAAATTGCTGTGAGAAACTTCTTCCTTTGTTAAATTACAAATTACGAGTTTTTTTTTGGTAACTAGGAATGTGAGAGAATAATTATGAATTGAATGATGGCTTCTAGTAATTTCTCCTTCCTTTTTTTTTTTTTTAAGCTATTGATTTATATTAAAGGTTAATGAGGTTTATTTATAATGAGCAACGAGAATGACTTTCTACTCAGGCGGATAAAGATAGAACAATAGAGAACAGTTTTAAACTAAGCGAAGATGTAGATCAGATGTTAGGAGAAAATTCTTCACTCAGAGGGTAGTGAGTCACTGAACATGTTGCTCAGAGACACTGTGTCTGCCCCACCCCTGGAGGTGTTCAAGACCATGGATGGGGCCCTCGTCAACCTGAGATAAAGATGGCATCCCTGCCCATAGCAACCCCCCAATGGGGGTTGGAACTGTATGATCTTCAGGTAGTCCCTTCAAGGTCCTTTCCAACCCAAGCCGTTCTATGAAGACTGTAGTTCTAAATGTGGATTCTTTATGGAAATTCTAAATTTATCTATTGTTATTTTTAAATTAAAAAACAGATTTGTAGACCTTTACATTAAATGGATAAGGCAGTTGAGATGTGGTTCTGCTGTTGAAGTATCTCATGCGTTCAGCGTAATTCTGCAAATTAACACACATTACTTTTCTTTTCTGCCTAAAAGAGGCTTTCTACCTGTTTAAAATGTTGAAGTATTGAGCTAAAGCAGTGAAAAACCTATGTGAGATCTGTAAGGAATGGTGATATGCCTACAACTGTCCATCCTGATTTTATCACACAAAAGTTTATTCCATTAAATAGCTACCAATAGCTATGAGAAAGGCAAAAAAAAAAAAGACATTAATTAATCCACCAAATCAAAAGGTACACTGTATTAAACATTCAAGTTGCAGTTAAATTGTAAGGAATTCAGAGACCATGTCAGCTGAGCTCAAAACTTGGTGGGGATCAGTCTCGTTTGTGTGAAGAGGTATGTACAGTAGGAAATATTTCTGTGACCCTACTGACAGTGTTTACCACCAAAGTATGACATTTACAAGGTCTGCTAGTCTATGTAGAGTCTCAGATTAATGTCAATGAAGGAAAGAGTCACAAACACTGTTACGGTTATTTCTATCCAGTTATGTACATAGAACTTCTGTATTGTATTTCTGCACTTAAGGTTGCTTGTGGAACTGAAATTCATAGAATCATAGAATGGTTTGTTTTGGAAGGAACCTTAAAGATCATATAATTTCAACACGCCTGACATGGGCAGGGATATCTTCCCACTACATCAGGTTGCTCAAAACCCCATCCAGTCTGGGCTTGAATACCTCCAGGGATGGGGCATCCACAACTTCTCTGAGCAACCTGTTTCAGTACCTCACTGCCCTCAAAGCAAAGAATATATTCCTTTCATCTAAATCAACCCTCTTTTACTTTAAAGCCATTACCCCTTGTCCTGTCACTCCACTCCCTGACAAAGAGTCTCTCCCCAGCTTTCCTGTAGGCCCTCTTTAGGCCCACTACAGGAAGGCTGCTAGAAGGTCTCCTCGGAGCCTTCTCTTCCCGAGGCTGAACAACCCCAACTCCTTCATCCCCTCTTCATAGAAGAGGTGCTCCAGCCTTTTGATCGTTCTCATGACCCTCCTCTGGACTCGCTGTAATAGGTCCGTGTCCTTCTTGTTCTGGGGGCTGTAGAGCTGAATGCAGTGCTCCAGGTGGGGTCACACAAAAGCAGAGCAGGGGGGAGAATCATCTCCATCACCCTGCTGGCCATGCTTCTTTTGATGCATCCCAGTATATGGTAGGCTTTCTGGGCTGCAAGCACACCCTGCTGGCTTATGTTGAGCTTCTCTTCAACACCCCCAAGTCCGCCTCAGGGCTGCTTTCAGGCCATTCTCCACTCAGCCTGTACTTGTTCTTGGAATTGCCCCAGGCCAGATGCAGAACTTTGCACGTGGCCTTGTTGAACTTCATGAGGTTCACACAGGCCCACCTCTCATGCATGTGGACCCCTTCCCTCCAGCACATCAACTGCACCTCATAGCTTGGTATCATCAGCAAACTTGATGAGGGTGCACTCAGTCACATTGTTTATGTGGGATGTTAAACAGTGCTGATCCCCATGTTGACCCCTGAGGAACACCATTCATTACAGATCTCCACTTGGACATTGAGTCAGTAACCACAACTCTTTGAGTCTAAGTGATCATAGAGGTCTCTTCCAACCTAGATGATTCTGTGAGTACAACCATCCAGCCATTCCTTACCCATTGAGAGATCCATCTGTCACATCCATGTCTCTCTAGTTTAGAGACAAGGATGTCATATGGAACAGTGTCAAATGCTTTGCACAACTCCAGGTAGATGATGTCAGTTGCTCTTCCCCTA